TCTCCTACTGTTTGTAAAGCGTCCTTGAGCACTGGCACTATATAAAGTAAATAAAAACAATAAATTAAAAAAGTTTAACTGAGCTGACGATATTTGACCTACAGTATTCTCATAGAAGATATCTGCTGTTACGGTGATGGTGTTGGCTTAGTACTTTCCATTTGCATATGTCACGTTGATCACAATTCCCTTTTTCATCAACTTCTTTATGGGTTTAAACTTGTTTTTAGTAGTTGTTACTAGTTCTAACAGATATGATCTATTTAATACCCGCAGGGTCTTAAAATGTCCTAAATTCGAAAACCTAAAATTTGAGGCCTTAAGAAGTCTTAAATTTACAGAAATACTGTGTAGTAGGTCTTAAATCTTTTGAAAAGTCTTCATTTTCCTTTGTTCATGTTTTGTTACCCAATTTGGCCAAAACCCATACAATCACCAACAATCCATCTCAATAAAACTTTAAACTTTTCATTCAAAAAGATAATTTTAACTCTATTTATCATAATAGTTTAATTATTTTTGTGCTTCATTTGTTCAAACGTGCTCCATGTATTTACTGCTGAGGACATCGACCTGGACAGATTGTTGTGCATAGATTTAGTTTATTATAGTTTTCAAAACTTTTGTTCATTTGTATTTTATTTTAAAGAAAGTTTATTTTGGAAAAAAGTGTGTGGATCCTAATCGAGCTCTCTTGTTTTTACACAATATTTAAGATTTTTTGCTAAGAAATATCTAAAATATTTTAACATTATTATTAATTTATTATTGTATCATTAAATGTATAAAATTGTAATATTTTTTGATAGGACAAATAAAAATCTTTTTCATCTGGGGCATTTGAAAAATTCCTTAATCTAAAATTTCATTCATAATGGTCTTAAAAATGTCTTTAAAAGTCTTAAATTTAACTTGGTGAAACCTGCAGAAACCCTGGTTTAAAGTATGTCAGAAAATGTGGATGCCCTTAATTTGAAATATGCTGAATGAAATGGACACTAAAATAATTAATTGTTATTACAAAACATTGTACAGTAATCTAAACTATATGTTGTTGTTGTGGGATGACGTAAGACAAAACAAACAAATTATAATGGCACAATAACGTTTAGCATTGCACTGACTACAACTGGCCAACAAACTAGTTTAAAATGACTTTTTTTGTTTAAGAAATGGATTACAGCATGCTGATGATATGCAAACATTTGAGTGTAAAGTTCGTCAGAATATTGACCATATTCTTCATGTACCAGCAGGCAGCGCCATTGGAATCTTTTTGCTTGAGACTTTTTTTTTTAAATAATACATATTTAGATCCTAAAAACAGTGTTGTTCTGCTGAGGCATGGGACAATAACCATTTTCAAAGTATAATGCAGTTTAAAAAAAGTCAAGGTTTTAAAACCACCAATTTTTTCTGCTGTAATCGTCATATGTAAGTTTTTTTATTTACATATTGTTTTAAGTTTTTCAGGACAACAGTATCTCCAGCAAAAAAGATATCCAAAGATGCTGATTTAAATTGTAAAGAAATCTGTGTTTTTGAAACAAATGAAGACAGCAGAAGTTAAGGATTCAATTGAATAATTTAGCCTGACATGTTTACTGCTCCAAAATATTTAAAAAGTTTCTCAAAAGAAAATGTTTTGTGTTCAAAGAGGAAAAAGTGTTTGTTTTTTACCCAGACATTTAAAAGAATATATTTTAGAGCAGTAATCAGTACTGTGAAAGTGTGATATTTTTATTCAAGGTTATCATATCGTCAGAATCTTATACTGGCCCATGCCTAATGCTGCTTGATGTTGCAAAGTCATATTTTCTTATTTTATTTTATTTTCTTTGTATGTATAGACATGAACACCCATGTTTGCAGAGCAAGTAGTGTGACCGTTTTTCTGCCATTTATTATTCCTGGTCATTTGTCCAATAGGCAACTGAAGTTCTAAAACAATAGCATATGAGATCGGGTCCCTGTTCCAGAAAGAAGGTTAAGTGTAAACTCAGAGTATTTTAGCCCTGAAATGAGAAAAACTCTGGGTTTTTACTGTTGATATTTGGCGCCAATTATTTAGTAAGTGATGATTTTGTTCTCTTTGATTCATTAAATGGAAACACTGCTTTATTCGCACATCTTTTATGTGCGCAAAAATTTAATTCGCATTTTTTGAATGAACTATTGCCTACATTTCAGTTACACAAAGAACAAAGTCACGTACAAGACTGGCTTGTCCTTTTTTAATGAATGATAAGCTTAAAGGGTACATAGTTTACCCCTTTTTTATGATTTAATTTTAATATTATGGTTCTTCTGAGTGTGCCAGTTTAGGTTCAGTTCAACACACAGTTCAGATGTTTTTATTATAATGTGTTCAAAAATGTGATGTTTGTGGGCGTTTACACAGTTTGCTGTTTTAGGGGCGTGTTGCTTCACAGTTTCCGCTTCCCGCCCAACATAACAAGGGGGCAGAGCCAAGAGCTTCCATGCTCTGTGTTTGCAACAGACAGGCTGACAGACCGAGAGAGAAGCTAAGCTAGGTTGAGCATTCAGTCGTACAAAATCATTTGTGTCTTTGTATAGTCTCGGTGTACAAGTGCCGAGCTTCTACACCGAGACTAATAACCACACACACTGAATTAACTTTGACTGAGGCACCAAATGCGGCACGACACGGCACACCAGACACTCAGTGACGCAGCAGAAACATGAAGTGTCCCGAATCGTCACGCCACGCATTCCAGAACTCCAAACACAGGCCTCCACCAGATTATTACTCGTTCTAAAAAGATTTTTTAGTCCTGCTTACATTTTAAATGTCATATCAACCTCTACTACTTGAGGGCAGTGCAATTAATTGAAAATCTGGTTGCGATTTCGATTTTGGCTTCTAATGATTATGAAAAACCATTAATCGAAATAAACGATTATTCCATCATATACCACCCCCTTTCCAGTTGTACACATTTGTTGCTCTGCAAAGCTCAGTTCCACGTGAAAATGACTAAAAGCATGTGCTGTAATGTAACTTTTGCAGCACGGGACGCGCATCATTCCTATTTTTAAAAGTGTGTAAGTGCACATGCTTTGTGTGTGCTGCGCTTAGCCTAGGACAGGCTCGGAGACAAGCAGAGAACACAAATCTAACGCCATCTTAATGTGAGCGCTTTAATGGTCAAATACATACAAATTTGTGTGGTGTTTAGTGATTATTCAGATTAACCCTCATTTGTATAATAAACAAACAAGTTGAGAATCAAGACATGTGAAAGAGAAACCATATCAGAGCCGCACTATTCTTAAAGTGACAGTGCGCAATATTCCTGCTGCCAACTGTTTTTATCATTATTCAAACAACAAAAGGAGAAAATCCCTCACTGCTCTTGACTGAAAGACTTTTGTAGCTCAAATGTTTTTCTGAAACCGAAAACTGAGTATTTAATCTCTCTGTAAATCAACTCAGAGTTCAAGATTAAACTCTGAGTTGGTTGAACCTCCTTACTGAAACAGGCCCCAGGTCATCATGACATGATTGACAATTGTCGCTGTTTGTTATTATACTCTGTTTATCCTTAGAGCTGATGCTGAGTATTCTTAGAGCTTTTCACACTTGAAATTGTTAACCCTGGGTCATTCTAACCCTGGATAAATTCTGGGTTATCTGTAGTCACCTTCCACACTGCTCATGCTATACCTGGGGTTAAAAAATAATCCTGGGTGTTCATTAACAGACAGTTCACATTTGTAAACCCTGGGTTATCATTATTATTTTGTATATTTACATTGTCACTGTCCCTGATTGGACGAATCGCAAGTAACCTTTTTAGATGGCATTTCTGCATCTTGTCGGGTATATACAATGTCACCAAGTAGGTCTTCAGCTAAGCCTCAGGACATGCACAAAGACAAAAGTACAAATAAATGAAAACAAGTAACAAAGTATGTCATCTTGCCATCTCCTCATCACTCCTGTTTAAAGCAAACGTGGCATTAAGCATTTGCATACATTTTATACAATAATGCAAACTTGCAAATATAAGCATAATTTTGCATACCTGCTATGGACATGCAGGATTTGTCTCAATCGGGTCTTCCAAGCAAGAGGAAACGCAACACGAGTAATCTAGAGCGAGTGCATGTGGTTATTTGCATTTAAAGCCACAGGCACAAAAAGAGCTTGGTTTTCCTCTGATCCCCAAAAATAAATATTCTACAAGGTATATGACCTGATTTTGAGCTGAAACCTCAGAAACATTCTGGGAACACTAAAGACTTATTTTACATCTTGTAAAAAATGGGTAATTGTAGGAACCTTTTAAAGGGATAGTTGACGCAAAAATGAAAATAGCCTCACCATTTACTCTCCCTCATGTGGATTTAAACCTTTATGAGTTTCTTGATCCTGTTAAGCACAAAAGAAGATATTTTAAAAAACGCTACTGGCTCACTGTGTTCCACAATAAAGGAAAGTTTAACACCACATGACTGAGAGTAAATGGTAAGGTCATTTTAATATTTGGGTGAAAAAGTCGCTTGAGGTGTCGCTTTGAGCCTTCATACTAAAGCTAACTTTTTTTTTTTTAGATCTGATGGTGCTGAAAGAAGAGACTCATCAACAGAATGAAATAGATGAGAAACAGCAGTTTAAGAAACCCCAAGAAATAACGACTGATGAAAAACCCACACTGACTAAAAAGACTTCATCAAACGAAAGTAATTTTAGCTGTAAACAGTGTGGAAAGAGTTTCAGTCAAAAGTCAAACCTTGATGTTCACATGAGAGTTCACACTAGGGAGCAGCATTACACTTGCAAACAGTGTGGAAAGAGTTTTAGTCAAATACAAGGCTTTAAAGCCCACATGAGAATTCACACTAGAGAGAGGAAGTTCACATGCCAAGAGTGTGGAAAAAGCTTTTATCATGTTGGAAACTTTGCAGCACACATGAGAATTCACACTGGAGAGAAGCCTTTCAGCTGTAAGCAGTGTGGAAAAAGTTTCAGTCAAAAGCCAAACCTTGATGTTCACATGAGGGTTCACACAGGGGAGAAACCTTACACCTGTGAACAGTGTGGACAGAGTTTTAGTCAAAAACAAAGCTTTAAATCCCACATGAGAATTCATTCTGGAGAGAGGCCGTACACATGCCAACAGTGTGGAAAAAGCTTCAGTCATGCAAGAAACCTGGCAGAGCACATGAGAATTCACACTGGAGAGAAGCCTTTCAACTGTAAACAGTGTAGAAAGAGTTTCAGTAAAAAGCCGCACCTGATTGCTCACATGAGAGTTCACACTAGGGAGAAACCCTACACCTGCGAACAGTGTGGAACGAGTTTAGGTAAAAAAGAAGACCTTTACATCCACATGAGGATTCACACTGGAGAGAAACCGTACACATGCACAGAGTGTGGTAAAAGTTTCCCACATAAAAGCTCACTCAAACACCACATGATAAGTCACACTGGAGAGAAGCCGTTTAAATGTGCTTAGTGTGGAAAGACAACTAAAGCTAGCCTCAAATGTGCTTAGTGTGGAATCACAACTAAAGCTAGCCTCAAGAACCACATGAATGGTCACTCTGGAACCATAGTGTTCACATGTGATCAGTGTGGAAAGAGTCTCACACGCAAAGACTCCATTAAGAACCATATGAAGACTCACTCAGGAGAGGATCGTTTTAGATGCAGTGAGTGTGGAAAGGGCTTTAATTGTAAAAGAATCCTCAGCACTCACCTAAAGCTTCACAATGGATAACAGAGTCAGCAAAATTGAGGCCTTGTCCACACAAACACGGGTATATTCAAAACGGCAGCTTTTTCATGTAGTTTGGCTGTTCATTCAAGTGAAGTTTATTTATAAACTACTTTCGAGAGGCTCACATGCTTAGCAAAAACATGATTCACAAATTAGATCATCCTTTGTTATAAAGCAGTGTCTCACAGACAGTACTTTGTTTAACTTACTTGAAGACAGACAAGTTAACATCACAGCTGAGGAACTGCACTATTCATTGTCTTCAATAAAGTCTTCTCCATGTAAGAACTTTGGTCAGCTTACTTATTTTATGTATTAAGAGTCATCTATACATTGGCGAGCCACCCAAGAATGGTTAAGCCAAATACAGCAAAATCTAACAATGTGTTTCAACTTATTATGAACTGATCACCATATTTGTGCAGGGTTCCACACAATTCTTTCATGTTGTCTTAACACAAATTAAGGTAACTTAACACTTTTACCAAATTATTTGGACTGAACATTAAGTTGTCCCAATGAAATCTCAAGAATTGTGTTATTTCAGCACATTTTAATTGAGTAGTTTGAACAAATAAAAAAAAGGTTGTTTTTTCCCCCCGATTTTTGTTTAATGGAGATAAGATTTTTTTCAGCACATTTTTAATTATTATAGTTTTAATAACTCATCTCTAATAACTAATTTATTTTATGTTTGCCATGACAGTAAATTAGACAAGTAATTGTATAAGGATGGTTTGTTCTGTAGACTATCGAGAAAAAATAGCTTAAAAGGGCTAATAGTTTTGTCTTTAAAATGGTTTAAAAAAGAATAAAAAACTGATTTTATTCTAGCTGAAATAAAACAAATAATACTTTCTCCAGAAGAAAAAAATATTATCAGACATACTGTGAAGAATTTCTTGCTATGTTTTACATAATTTATGAAATATAAAAAAAAACATGAGGGGCTCTATATATATATATATATATATATATATATATATATATATATATATATATATATATATATATATATATATATATATATATATATATATAGGCTTTACATGCATAAACAAGGAAGAAGTAATACAATTACAACAATAGGATGACACAAATATAGGAAAAACAGTGTTTAGTAATGACAATTGTATTTACAGTAAGAAAAAAGTAAATAAATATTAAATTAATAATAAAACAAAAAGAAATATATTATAAAAGTTTATGCAATATAAACATTCAAAGGGTACAGAATTTGGGTAAAGGGTACAGAATTTGCTGAAAAAAGTAGCTGCTTTATATATATATATGTATATATATATATATATATATATATATATATATATATATATATATATATATATATATATATATATATATACACATACACACACGCACACACAGTACTGTGCCCTGGTCAGTTGGCATTTCAGAAAGCTTTTGACAGGGTAGAGCATGATTTTTTATTTGCAGTTCTTAAGGAGTTTGGATTTGGGGAAAATTTTAGAAAATGGATTTAAATTTTTATACAGATATTTTAACTTGTATTAAATGTATTTTTTTTTTTTAACAGAATGTCTTCAACCAACTAGATCAATAAGGCAAGGATGTCCACTGTCTGCTTTATTATACACACTGGTAGCTGAGCCACTGGGATTGGCAATAAAATCAGATAGAAGCATTAAAGGGATACAAATAGAAAACAATGACAACAGAGAAGCTTTGTATCAATACGCTGATGATACTACATCGTTGGGGATTTTAAGGCAAGGCAAGGCAAGGCAAGTTTATTTATATAGCACATTTCATACACAATGGCAATTCAAAGTGCTTTACATAAACAAGAATAAAAGAAACAAGTAAAATAAAAAATAAAAACAATAATAAAAATGCATAAAAACAAAACATAAAAACAGGTAAAATGTGATATAAAAGAATGAAGAAGATGAGAAAAACATAATAGTGCAATCTGTCGGACGCAGCACAGTGCTCATTCAGTAAAGGCACAACTAAACAGATGTGTTTTCAGTCTTGATTTGAATGTGCCTAATGTTGGAGCACATCTGATCATTTCTGGAAGCTGATTCCAGCAGCGAGGGGCATAGTGGCTAAAAGCCGATTCACCCTGCTTTGACTGAACTCTTGGAACTTCTAGTTTATATGATCCTAATGATCTGAGTGATCTGTTAGGTTTGTATTCAGTGAGCATATCTGTGATGTATTTAGGTCCTAGGCCATTTAGTGATTTATAGACCAGTAGTAATACTTTAAAATCTATTCTGAATGTAACTGGCAGCCAGTGTAGAGACCTGAGGACAGGTGTGATGTGCTCTGATTTCCTGGTTCTGGTCAGAATTCTGGCTGCAGCGTTCTGGATGAGCTGCAACTGTCTGACTGTATTTTTAGGAAGACCAGTGAGGAGTCCATTACAGTAATCCACCCTGCTGCTGATAAAAGCATGAACAAGTTTTTCTAAGTCTTCACTAGAAACAAAGCATCTGATTCTTGCTATGTTTTTGAGATGATAGTATGCTGATTTACTGACTGCTTTGACATGACTGTTGAAACTCAGATCTGACTCCAGAGTCACACCAAGATTCTTGACCTTATTTTTTGTTGTTTGACCTTTAGTGCCAAGGTACGCATTCACCTTGAGAACCTCATCTCTGTTCCCAAACACAATCATCTCAGTTTTCTCTTTGTTTAACTGAAGAAAGTTTTGGCACATCCAATTGCTCATTTCATCAATGCATTGGCAGAGGGTGTCAATGGGGCTGTAGTCATTAGGCAGTAAGGCTAGGTAGATCTGAGTGTCATCAGCATAGCTGTGGTAGGAGATTTGGTTCTTTCTCATTATTTGGCTTAGAGGGAGCATGTAAAGGTTGAACAGCAGAGGTGCCAGAATCGAGCCTTGTGGGACTCCACATGTCATGGGTGTCCACCTCGACCTGTGGTCACCTATACTGACATAGTAACCTCTCCCTTCAAGGTAAGATCTAAACCATTTGAGGACTGTGCCAGACAGCCCAACCCAGTTTTCCAGCCTATCCAGAAGTATGCTGTGATCGACAGTGTCAAATGCAGCACTGAGATCGAGCAATACCAACAGATATTGTAAGAGCGATATTGTAGAGCGATATTGTAAAGCATCAGGAGCTAAGGTTAATGTTGGAAAAAGTTTGAGCATGAGGGTGGGAAGAGTAAAATAAATAACACAACATATACCCTTTAAAGAAGAAAAGGAGCATACAAAAATGTTGGGAATTTGGGTGGGGATGTATTGTAATAAAGCAGATATTTTAAATTGAGAGGGTGTTTTAAATGGAACTGAGAAAAGACTGAGATTTTGGAAAGCTAGAAATTTTACGTTAAAAGGAAAAGTATTAATCTTAAATGTTTTAACGTTGTCAAAGGTCTGGTTTGTGTTAAGTGTAACTGTGTTGCCTGAAGTATACTATAAAAATTGAATGATGTAGTTTTAAAGTTTTGGTGGGGAAATGGAAGAGCCAAGATTGCTTATTAAACTTTGATTGGGGAGGTAAAAGAAGGAGGTCTGGGACTTTTGGATAGTTTTTTTTAAAAATGAAAACATAAACAATTAAGATTATTCAAAGGTTTTTGGAAGGGAAAATGGATGTGATTTGGAAAAGTGTGTTGAATTATTATTTGAAGAAATGTGGACATTTTAATATGGGATGTAATGTTTTATGGATGAAGATGAAGAAACGGATGATAGCAGGTCTGCCAAAATTTTATGTTGAGGTCTTAGAATCATGAGGGGGATTTTTAGAAAATGTGTTGATTATACCAAAAGCAAGGGCGCAGATTCTAGAACAACCACTTTTACTGAATTCAACAATTTTAAGTGAAGGAAATATTTTATATTTTAAAGAATGGTGAGATGGGGGATTAAGACAAGTTAAAGATGTATTATATGAAGTGATAAAAGGATTTGTACCATTACAAGTAATTGTGGATGGGCATAGATCCTAGGCCACATTCTGTCCAGCGTTACAAGATGAAATCAGGATTTAGCAGAAGATTGTCACGGGTAGGGAAGGTATTACTGTAAACGGTGTCTAGTTCTTCAAAGGGCTCCTCATCAGCTCGACTAGCTCAGTCGGTAGAGCATGAAACTCTTAATCTCAGGGTTGTGGGTTAGATCCCTACGTTGGGCATTTCTGTTTCCTCTCTGTCTCTCTTTCTCAGCAAACTTTCATTAGGGTTTATATAGCAGACCTTTTGAGACACATTTCCACCTTTCTACCACTGTAGATGACATTTTTCTAAGTCTCTGTGGTGCAATCGGTTTGGCTGTTAACTGAAAACTTGGTGGTTCAAGCCCACCCAGGGATGAATTAAGCACTTTGCTGCCTTGCAACTGCTAACACGTGCATTGGGCATAGATCCTGGGCCACATTCTGTCCAGCGTTACAAGATGAAATCAGGATTTAGCAGAAGATTTTCACGTGTAGGGAAGGTATTACTGAAGATGGTGTCTAGCTCTTGCAAGAGCTTCTCATCAGCCTGGCTAGCCCAGTCGGTAGAGCATGAGACTCTTACTCTCAGGCTCGTGTGTTCGAGCCCCACGTTGGGCATTTCTGTTACTTTTCTCTCTCTCTCTCAGCAAACTTACATTAGGGTTCATATAGCAGACCTTTTGAGACAAAGTTACACCTTTCTAACACTGTAGGTGATCTCTTACTAAGTCTCTGTGGCGCAATCGGTTAGCGCGTTCGGCTGTTAACTGAAAAGTTGGTGATTCAAGCCCACCCAGGGATGAATTAGGCATTTTGCTGCCTTGCAACTGCTAAAACGTGCACTGGGCATATATCCTGGGCCACATTCTGTCCAGCGTTACAAGATGAAATCAGGATTTAGCAGAAGATTCTCACAGGTAGGGAAGGTATAACTGTAAACGGTGTCTAACTCTTGAAAGGGCTCCTCATCAGCTCGGCTAGCTCAGTCGGTAGAGCATGAGACTCTTAACTTAGGGGTGTGGGTTAGATCCCCATGTTGGGCATTTCTGTTGCCTCTTTGTCTCTCTCTCTCAGCAAACTTTCATTAGGGTTCATATAGCAGACCTTGTGAAATAAAGTTCTGCCTTTCTACCACTGTAGGTAACTTCTTACTAAGTCTCTGTGGCGCAATCGGTTAGCGCGTTTTGCTGTTAACTGAAAGGTTGGTGGTTCAAGCCCACCCACGGACAAATTAGGCATTTTGCTGCCTTGCAACTGCTAACACGTGCACTGGGCATATATCCTGGGCCACATTCTGTCCAGCGTTACAAGATGAAATCAGGA